CACACACACACACACACACACAAACACACACAAACACAGAAGGATGAAAGGATGTGTGTGTACAAACAGATGATAGCATATATGATTGGAAGGAACTTTTTTTTGTGTTAGCGCATTCCACAGCTGTAATTTTCGGCGCTTTTTTCAATTCATATTGAGAAGGAATGCGTGGGTGTGATAGTGATCGAAGCACTTTTTTTCATTGAGAATTTTCATGTAACTCTTTTATGAACAGAAAATATCAGAGTTGTACAAACGTTTAAAATGAAGCTCTGATAATAGCTGTCTAACTATTAAATTATATCAGGAAATTACATTAAAAGGCATTTACAACTTTACACTCTTTCATATAAGTTAGATTTCATAGAACTTTAAAAAAAAAAAAAAAAACTATTTTCAAGGGTAAAAAAAATACAGCCATTTACGCAAAAGACTGTTTGAATACTTATTAGAGGTCAGAATTGCTGTTAGAAAACAAGGTTGCTCTGACCTACAGTTAGGTAATGAATTTGTTAATATCGAATTGATGCTTATTCGATGATTCTAAAATCGGATTTGATCAATACTTCATTTTAAAGTAGATCAAAACTAAAACCTTAATTATTGCACAATTATTATCCCTATTAATTTCATACAAACTCTATCCTAAACTAATCAACTTATGCCATTTTTCACTTACTATTCTACAATTTTATTATGTCAATTGAATTAAAAATTTTGAGGAAGAAAGTAATCAATGAGAAATTTGAAATAACTCCACAAAATCATTTAAATCAAATAAAGGCACATAACCGTTACCAGTAATCATATCACAAACTTCGGACAATAAAAATATTAATCACACAAATGTCATTTATTATACGAATCAAAATGAGAAAAATTACCGCTACCAATATAACTAACACAAATGATTTCATTGATAGTTTATACCACAAAATAAAAGATTAATCGCTTCTTTTAGCAATACAAAAAAAATTACTCATCTGTAATTCCCAATCCCTTCATATATATATATATAAAGAGAGAGAGAGAGAGAGAGAGAGAGAGAGAGA